TTAATAAACAAAGTGCAGGTAGAAAACACATTTTGGAAACATGTGCAATCCGTTACCTTTCCCACATCTAGCACAGAGAGCCAGGGGTATGAACTGTGTAGCATTTATTGGCCTTGCACCAAGCCTTGTCAGCCCTGTTGGCCAGCAAGAGAGCAGCAGGGCTACAAGGACACCCTTTGCTTAATTTCATCCAAGGAAATACTTTGATTTCTATGTCACCCTATAACCACGTGCTCTCAAGGCAGCTGCATGTGGAATAAGGACACTGGGAGCATTTAAACGGCACATCAGAGCTCTAGCTTCAAGCACATCTGGGCAATAGTGTGTGAGTAGAACACATGTTGTTGTATTCAAAAGACCCAAGATTCAGTAACAAGGTGGATGAGCCAGTGATGTATGAAAGTAGGCAGGTTATTGGCCCTGGAGTTCAACCTAACCTGGTTAACATTTAACTCTGAATTAGTTTGAATGAACAGCAGTATCAATGTAAGGTCCATCACCTACCAAATAAAACAAGCAGAAAGAATGATGCAGTTTGCTATTTCAGACCACAGGTCTGAATGCACCTTTACATTAAGAACTCTTTAGAAACAGCAAGCCTTCCTAACAGGAGGAAGAGTGGTGCTCGGGCTCACCTCCCTGATATGCTAGATTTCTGCGTCTATAGGGAATTTCATTTCGCTGGAGAAGCATTCAGAAGTGGTAGTCTGAATAGCTACTCTCCACTCCAGACAAAAATGGCAGTTGCTTCTAGTAGCAAGGTGCACTAAGCCATATTTGGAAATCGTGCATGATATAAGAATTGCTGTTGATATGCATAGAGTGAGGCTGAGAAAAGGGTATTGTGTCTCTTGGAATACTTATTATTGGCGCACATTTAGTGGGCATCATTAACTCACTTTCTTAAGTAGATGTGTTTCAGAGTACTGCACGCAGCCTAGAGACATCTCTGTGGAAATTGAAAATGTTTCTGCAGATTTCAGAGAGGTGTATCCAAGCTCAGAACTGAAGCTCTTGCCTCACCATACTTTCTCCATACCACTGCAGTGAGTTTTTTAGAATCATTTAAAGTGAGCAAATACCCAGCTCTCCCTCTTAACTCCCCATGTAGCCTGAGGAAAAGTGATTCAAAGAACGCTCTTCAGAAACACATAACATAAATGTTTAAAAAGTAATTCATAGGCAAGACATTAGAGATAAGGGCTGAGGAGTCAGATCAGAGATGACGTTTGGAAGTGGGGGGCGGTTCCTCAGGCTATGCAGAAGGGATTGTCTTTGATCAATTTGCCCTGTGAATGAACAAGACAACACATTTGAAAACGTCATCTAATTTTTCTGTGTTTCTGGTTTATATGTGACCTCCTGCTATCCTCCCACACTTTCCTTAGAAGCATCTCTTTTCATAATACAAAGATTGATTTCCCCCTCTGTTCTTCAGGCATCCTAATGATCTGTAGTGTGAGTGATGCTTGCATTAACATAGCCTCTGGGAGTCCCAAAGCACAATAAGGGCTTCATAAAAAGGTCCAACATATTTGAAGGCTGTTTCATTCAACGGCCAGGAGAAGGAATAAGACACTTCCTAGGAAGCACAGCAGAACATCAGTAGAACTAAAGGCAAAGACCAGCAGACTCGACCCACGACCCTTCTCTGCTTGCACTGGGGGGCAGGAAGGCATCCTGGCTAGCTTAGCGGGGCTCTGGGCCAGCTGCGTGGCACATGTCACTCTGTCCTCCACTAGAGAGAAGTGGCTGAGGCCAGGTTTAGCAGAAAGGGTCAGAGGGCTGCTTCTACCCCACACATTCAAACAGGGGGAATCCCATTTTCTCATCCATGCTGATGTATCCCATAGAGGATATGGGAAAAAAGAAAAGAAAAACATCAAATAGTGAGCGAGTTTGAAGTCCTTCATCAAGCTGGATGCAGCTCAAAGCAAGGGGCAGGGGGAAGAAGGTCAAAATAGGGGGGAAAGCCTTGATATTATAGACCAGCCTTCCCAGCCTGGTGGCTGTCAGAGGCATTTGGATCTCCTCCCAGAATTCCCATCCAGCAGTTCCATTGACTAGAAATTCTGGGTGTTGCAGTGTAAACAGGTCTGGAAGGTACAAGATTGGTGCAGGCTGTCACAAACGAAAAATGTGCATCTCCGTGGATGAAGGAAGACAGTGCAGACTTAACTGCATGACCCTCTGCTAAACACAGGTCTCAAATTCCACCTGAGATTCAGGGATGAAGAGCAGTAGATGATCCCCATTTTTTAAGTCAAGCAGGTAACTGGATCTGCCTCCAGCTCTAAACAAATCACTTAGATTTTTTATCAGGTATAGAGCAGAAGAGGGAGTTTTATATTAGCAAGCTGGAGATTAACTGCAGGTGGTTTTCTAACTAAAAAAAGAAAAAAGGGCCAACTGAAGTCACACTGGATAGTATTACCTAGTGATTTGAGGGTGTGTAACTCTCAAAAAGCAAAGTTGGTACTCAGATGGCAATTCTATCTATCTATCTATCTATCTATCTATCTATCTATCTATCTATCTTCTATTCCACGCAATAACTGGGTGGTTTACAACTATAAAAAAGCATCTCCTGTTCCTGAATGGCTTAAGTTGGCATTCTGCAACACAGACCTAAAGCCATTGAAGCTGCATTGATCCCAAGTGTTTGTGAAAGGGAGCCAGTGAACACCACCAATGAGGGGTGGGGGCAGGATTATCCTCCACTTCCAGCTCCTCTGGAATGTCACCGGAATGCACAGAATGTCCTTTGGCATCATTGTCACTTGCCAGAATGGGGGGAAGGGGATGTACCTGGCAGGGTCAGGCTGACCTACAAGCTTTTGCAGACATTACCACATGATCAGGCTCTTGCCCACCCCTGTGCAAGCATTTGCTTTGCTCTGGCTGGTTACCCTGAAGTTTCTGCTTCAGGCAAGGCTCAGTGCTGACACATGGGGCACACTGGTCTGACTGACACTTCTCACATTCCATATCCAGGACCTATGAAGCACTTAAATCCTGGTACATCCCTTCCCCACTATTCGTGCAACTGGGCATGATGTCTGTGGACATTCTCTGCCTTCTCCATACATTCCAAAGGGGCTGGAAGTGGAGGCTGCTCTCTGGTGATGCTCAGCAGTTCCCTCTCACTGGCACAGGACCAACTCTCCTCAACCTGGTACTGGACTACAACTCACATCACCCCCTATTATCATATCCAATGGCCATGCTGACTCAGGATGAAAAGGCTAATGCTTCTGGAGGGCAACAGGTTGGGCGAAGCTGTGCATGGACCGATGCGGCCTCCTTTGCTTCCAGTGTCTCATGGAGAATAGCCGTCTGGGACTTCTCTGCATGAGGCATGCAACCCAGCACTTTAGCAAGGCTGCTTCTTCACCTTTATTTGTGTGAGGGTTGGAGCATCCTTCGCAGAAGAATTTCCCCCCTCCCTTCTTCCCCCTACCTTCCTACATGTCCCTATATGTTCCATTACACAACTCAAAGGTAATGCTGCAATATAGAGCCAAACTACAAAAATACACTAGACTTCTGCTACAAATCATTATATTGTCTAGCAGGAGCTTTTACTCATTCCCATCCCCTACAAAAAAAAGCTGTGAAAATTACTGGAAAACTCAATGCAGGCCCTGGAGGATGATGACATCAAGAAAAGGCCCTGCAAACTTCCATGAGCAACAGACCACGTGTGCACAATAAATGCCTCCTATAGAGAAGCCCACAGAAAAACAGAGAAAGATTATTTTCTACTACCCAAAGAGGGACTTTGCAACAAAGTAGCTATTTATGAATCACCAAAACAGAGGACAAAGGAAGGCGCCAATTTGCATAACATTTGCATTAATGCCTATTTGCATTAACAGGATGGCCAGTGTTTATAAAACCATGTGACTCTGAGGGGTCAGGAAGCATCCATTCTCTACGGACTTATGACAGAATAACCCAGTGAGTGGGTGAATTCACAATGCCCTGTGCCAGCCCCATGCTTCCATTAAGTTCAGGTTCAGGTGAAATGGGAAATATTACCCAGAGGGGATGGCTTTGTGCATTGCTGACTGCAGGCACAATCCGCTCCCCTCACCTGGCACAAAAGTACAGTATTTGCCCAAACGGCCAAACTTGTGTGACAAATATGACAATTTAACCAGGGAAGCAGAACCCAAACCAGCTTCCTGGGAAGCAGCCTGTCCCCAAACATCTGTTGGATTTCAGAGTGAGTTATAGGTGACACAATAAGGCCTGCTGTTCTCCATCCCAATCAAAATCCGCAGATGCCAAAGGAACCACAATACAGAGCAGAGTTCTTTTCAGAAGGTTGGAGGGAAGTCAGGCAGCAGAAGATTAAAACAAAAACAAGCAAACAAAACGCCTCAGTCTTTGAATAATGGCTGTCAAAGACAAGGAAAGGGTGTTCTGGGAGATGCCAACTGCAAAATGGAGCAAGGACCTTCTGTCAGTCACTGCTGTTTTAATCAAGTCTTTCCATCCATCCACTAGAGAAGATGCCTATAATTCTGAGCCATTATTCTCTAATTGTGGCATTAACCATCCCAGGGCTGCTTCAAATGTTATACTTTCCCCAGAAGGACAGATTCTCCATGCAAGTGAGCAAGGGAGTGCATGTGTCAGGCTGGCGACACTAGGTCATTCTGTGTGACAGTCACACGTGTGTCTGTGTCATTGCATGCCAGTGTTGTAAACATGCTGTGACACCGCGGCATATAGGAACATGATCCTCAGCATACACTTTGTGTTCTTTTACCAAGATGGAAATGTGCTGTGTATCGGCAAAAGAATGCTCCATCCCAGTTTTGTGTCTCTCAATGTCATGGGTGTTTTTCCCCTTTCTAGCTGTCTCTATTTAACCCCCCACAGCCCAGTTGCGTCAGCCATTGGCTGCACATAACAGACGCCTGCCAAGAATTTCTAAGAGGGTCAGGTGACACCCCCTGTTCCAAATCCCTTCCCTCTCCCAAGCCCCAACCCACATACCGAGGCAGGACTTTCTAGCAAGACTGCATTGTAGCAAGGAAACCGAGCAGATCAACATCCTGGCTGAGTTTGGGATACTCACAGCAGTACTATAGTCAGTAACTTCTCCAGTTCTTAGCAAAGGAACAGCTTGGTGAGTAATCGCTTAAGTGGAATGATGTATATTAATCAAGATCTTGTTTTAGCTCTAGAGGAAAACCCCTGGTTTTGTCCTGGAAGCATAGGCAGGTGGAGTTGATCTTTAAACTTGGGTGTATGTTCATCTAGTCTTAAAAAGGGCAAACTTGGGCAATGAGGGTGGAATCAGAGGAGGCTGCAAAACTTTGCCCAACTTCTATTTTTTGCTGAAGGGTGTTTTGAATGTTCTGTATTTTCTGTCCTAATTCTCAGTGCATAAGTCCGTCTTTCCAAACATAGTGCCACCAAGATGTTGTTGGACCCTGGCTCTCAGTAGCCCCAGCAAACACAGCCAATGGTTATAGGTGATGGGAGTTGTGCTCCTAAACATCTAGAGGGTGCCAGGTTAGGAAAGGCTCACAAAATGACTTCTGCTACATCTACAGTGTTTGCTACCCAAAGGGATTGGGAAATATTGTGGACAAATATTGTGCTGACCTTCTGGTCTAATTAAAATTAATGAAGTTAACCGGCAGGCCTTTTCCTAACACTCTGGGAGACTGCATGATAGCCATCTTTGGAAAAGTACTGAATCCAGCATCCCTCCAAGCCGAGGCAGGGGGTTCTCCCCAGAACCTGACGAGAGTAATATTACTGAGTGCAGGGAGTAAAGTGGAACTGTTTGCTATTATGTGGTTGGTGATCAGGTTATGCCATTAAAAACAAACACTCATCTCTTGAGATCCTTGGCTGTGGGAAGATTTGGCTAGGCTGCTTGGATGGTTTTCTGGTAAATCTAATGGCATAGCCACAGCTGAGCTAACATGAATCTGAAGTAGGTGCAAATCAGCCCATGTCCATACCAGAATATTTCAGATCTAAGCAGTGACAATGGGGCAGGGTGGGGCACCATGCCCGTGGGACAAATAGCTCACTCTCACCCTCCCTGTGCCCCCTCACCACTAATAGACCCCCTCGCTCCTTAAAGGAAAGACACTTTGCACAGATAAGGTAGAACTAATTCATAAGCTAAAATGAAAATAAGGCTGCAATTGTAAACATGCTTCCTTGAAAATTAGCTGTGTCAAAATCAAGGGGTTTGCTTCTGAGAAAAATATGTTCAGGATAGGAGCGGAAAATGACCCATGCGGATCATCATAAATCAATCAATGAATTGCATCTTTATCTTCCAGGGGGATAAAACTTCCTCCCACCAACCTTGCCCTGCAAGCAATCACTTTGCCTCTTGTGTGCCTCCATGCAATTGTTGTTTCCCTGCTGCCACCATTGACTTCATGTCACAGCAGCTCTGATGCAGGCAGGATTAAAAGCAATTAAGGAGGGGGCACCGAACAGCCTTTTCATCAGAACTTCCCATTCTACAGTAGTGTGTGGATTTCAATTTTAGGCTGTGCGCTCAGCCCCCTGACAAGGACAAGGAGGATTGGTGCATTCCCATTGCTGGGTCAAATGCATGGCGACAGAATAGCCCTTCCTTTGCCTAGCCAAGGGTGAGCTTAGGACAGAACTGGCCCCAAGCTCACCGAAATGGAAATGCCAAAAGCCAGCAAGAGGTTAGCTAGAAGGATGAGGCGGAAGGGTGAACACGCCAGCCCTGGTGCAGAAAGGCAAGCTTTATAGCCATACACTAAAGATGGTGCCATCCAGCCAAATATATGGTCTAATAAACTTTTTCTGTTATTTTATTATTGCACTGAATATTTAGATTTGATGTATGCTGCCCCAGAATCCAGTTCTGGATGAAGGCACAGTTTATAAATTTTTAAAATAAATAAATAAGTAATAAAAGACAGCGAAGGGATATTTACTATAGGTATACAATGAGGCAGCCAATGCCATCACAGTCTCCTCATTATCCCAAATGCCTGGCAATCATAAGCAAGGCGGAGAGCATCGTGGCGGCCTATCAATCGTGGCTAATGCGGCCTCCATCCAGCCCGGCTGTCTGCAGTCCTCCAGCTTCGCAGAGCAACCATATAAATCCTTCCGTGAAATAAACAGTATCTTTGCTTCTTGTACATGAGGGACACTGGGACCAGCCGTAAACTTTATGAACATCATATTCTTTCAGGGAAGGAAATACGAGATTAAAAGGGCGCAGGGTTTGTGCACAAAAGGATTTATGGTCTCAGTGCTGGAACTTGGCTCCTTGCACAGAACATCACCCAGGTTAGTTATTCTTTCAGATTTGGGAAGAGGAGCAAAAGCAGATTTAGCAATACACTGAGGATTAATGTTGCTTCCCAGTCATTGTAGATCAAATATCCATATGGAAATATGCAAAGAGTCAACCAGATATTTTCCAATGTTGGCAAGCAGCTTTGTTTGATCAGGCATGCAGGCAATGCGTGTATAAAACAGCAGAGGGACTTGTATATATATAACTCACAGACAGTAATGAGAAACTGAATTGCACAAAGGGAAAAGCGATCGACTATTTTTAGGACTTTGGTGCTAGATTTACCAAAGAGCTTGTCTCTACTTGTTCAACACTTTGAGCTCTTCTGAAAATCTGGCCTTTGGGGCTTATCTATGTGTAGTTCCAATGAAAGTTTCCTTTCAAAATAATTTTTCCTGAAGATCAGACTACAGAGTCCAATAAGTAACTACCCTGGACCTCTAAAACTGATTAAAGCCATTGCACGAACAGCCTTGTAGCTTATTACTGTGTTTGTGCCATGGGACTGAACAGTCAGTGGTAAGCTACCTCACCCATCATCTTTATCATCTTCATCTTCATCTCCAACATCTTGCATTTATATCCCACCTTTTTTCTTTTTGTGAAGAACCCAGCCTGGCTTACATAATTCCATGCTATCCTCACAACAACCACCTGCAAGGCAGGTTAGACTGAGAGTCTGTGACTGGCCCAAAGTCATGCAGGCTTTATGGCCTGAGTGAGAAACAGAACCAAGACATCCCAGGTGGCCAGTCCAGTGCTCCAACCACCACACCATCACCGTTCTCTTTGCTTCATTGTGGGACATCTTCCTGCATTTGCAGTTCTTCTGTTGTCTCACCATAATGCATACTAGTGCCATGTTTAGTGCATCAGCTATGAAACAAATATCACTCAATGGGTTCTACCGCCACAGCTAGGAAAGGCCTCTATCAGTATCTTCACCATCAGTAGCGGCAGATCTTATAAGCTGCAAAAGAATGCTTGGGACACTGTCCATTGCAGGACTTCCCTGCTGCCCCAAAGAATCAAAGAATCATACAGCTGGAAAGGGGTGGAGTCCAAACATCTGAACAATGCAGGACTCAAGTCTCCCATCCAGATTGCAACCAGCCTGACCCTGCTTAGCTTCCAAGATGAGACGGGATAAGGCACGTCAGGTTACCAAAGTATCAGAACAATATATGAAGCTGGTTGACTACCTTACTGCTGCTTCTTGAAGCTCCCAATAGCATCCCATCCACCCTCTGATAAGAACATAAAAGTGACACTGGATGCAAGCAAGGCCCATCTATCTAGACCCCCATTCTGTTGCCCAGCTGCCCAAGGGCAACCCACAAGCAGGACATGAGTGCAGTCACACACTTTCACTCATGTTCCTTAGCACTGTCTTCAGTATGCTGCCTCTGATACTGAAAGTGACGTACAGCCATCAGGACGAGTAGTCACTAAGAGCCTTCTCCACCATGAGTTTGTCTAACCTTCCTTTAGGGCCATCCAAACTGGTGGCCATCACTACTGAGGGGTCCAGTGTTGCTGTTGTGTGAACTGAATGCATAGGGTTTAAGGTATGCCTAGCATTGACATCTACAGGTGCCATGTGGCTATTTTAAGCCATTCCAGACCCTTCAACCATTGATAATTTTGTGTGTGAACAACAGCTTTAGTGAATGTGTGCCTGCTTGATGTTGGATGTATGTTTTGCTTGTCTTCAGCCTCTGCAAGGCGAGTTACCAAAAATATGATTTTTTTGCCTGTTTAAAGGGCCCTAGGGAGGCCAGATAAGAAGGGGAAAGGGTGTCTGTGCATACTTGTGACCTGGGAGAATTTTAGCAGCTGCAGCTTGCATGGAAAGCCCACTTCTGTAGAAATATTAGAGGTGTAGGGGCTCTACAAGGCATCTTCAGGGTGCAAGGGTGATTGGTTCCTTTCCAGATGGACCATTATCTCTTTTGTTGTTGTTGTTGTTTCAGTGTATCAGTCATGCAACAACCAAAGGTCTTGGGGCAAAATAGTTAATGGCAACGAATTCATTAGAACTACTTCTAAATCCACTTCATTTAAAAAAGCACATCCGTAATCCTTATGGAAGCCAAAATGAGGCGAAATGTGCCACCACCATTCCATCCATTTGTTTGGGGGCCATCCAGCTGCTTCCTAGCCAATGAATGCAGTCATAGCAATGTTTGACACACCCAGTGCCTGGAGAATGAAATCCCTGCTCCATTGTAAGCCTGTTTTCCCCTTGTGGTCTGCCCTGGTGGAAAATGATCACAGCTCCGTTAAAAAAAAATTCAAAGAGCAACTACATTGCCTAGGACAATAACTGAAGGACTATAGGATGCTTCTGATTCTTGGCTCTGGGGTCAGAGACTTCTTGCTCTGGGAGGTCAGGCAGACACCAGCAGTGTGTTGTTTCCATGCACAGTCTTATTAAAGACAGTCTTACTCCAGGAAGCCTTTTCTTGCTGACTGGCTGAAGTCTTAGTGTAATTTTGTTTTAAATACGGTGATTATGAAACTACCTGTCAGGGCATCTTTGTGAATCTTGCATCTTTGTGGATCTCAGTGTAGATTGATGTGGAATGTCCTGAGCTGAGGTTTCTTCGAGAAAAATGGGTGGCCATGGACAGAATCCCGGAAGGAAAGGCAAAGATCGCTTTACCAACACTGCAACATTAATGGTGGGCTCCCATCTGGGATTTCTGCAAAGGCCAGTTGGCACAGAATGTTCTAGTCCTAAGCCTGCTGAGGCCAAGTCAAAAAGCTCAGCAGTACCCTAATAAGCAAATTGGGGTTATTCTGGAGTCCCCTTAACAAGAAGAAAAAGGGAGCATCTTATTAATAACTTGGTGTTAGCTGGCCATAGGAATGACCTGATACAGCTGCTTTCAGGGGAGCCATATTAACCTGATAGCTCCTCTAGATTACCTTACATTACCATACCATATCATACCATAGCTTACCTTTCTGCTTATCCACCACTAGTAATAGGGCAATCTAATTTGTTCCAGGTAAGTATTTTAGGTCTGAGGTCCCAGCAATGCCTGGCTCTCCAAAAGCACATGACTTTAAAAATGCGTGCTCCTCCTGGCTACTCTTGGTCAGGAAATCACCAGGGTGTTGAGTGTTATATCTGACATTTGTAAAAATTGCACAGAAGGTTGGAAAATGTGAGTGGGTAGAGGGAATTTCCTTCTTTTTTCTGACTTGCTGAATGTATCCTTTAGATTGCAGAAACATTCTCGAAGGATTACTGAGCAGCTAGACGGCATACATGCTTTAGATCTGAGCTCACCAGCTGGCTTGAAAAAGCTCTACTCGTCCTTTGATCCCAGCTAGAGCAACAGAAATACGGCCATTCCTTCAGTCGGGGTTTAGTGTCCTAAAGAGAGAGAGATCAGTGCCTCTGGATGCACCATGGTGGTGCAGAACAATCTGGACACTGGGGATGCTAGGAAAGGGATCCCGCTGGAGCCATTTATCCACCAGGTTGGAGGCCACATGAGCATGCTCAAGTATGATGACCACACTGTCTGCAAGCCCCTGGTATCCCAGGAGAGGTGGTTCTACGAGTCACTCCCTACAGCGATGAAACGATTCACACCTCAGTATAAAGGTAGGGCCAATATTCTTAAGTATATGAATCGGGATTGCTCAAATAGCATTAAACTTTGGTAACTGGTATCTCCCCTGCTCACATTCAGTTGTGTAATTTATGCATCAGTTGACCTACAGGCTAGTCCTGCTAGGCCATTGTTAAAATCAGGGTAGTAAAAATATTCCCAGATTTCAGCCCTTTGCCTTTTTATAGTTTTCTTTATAGAAACCAAAATAGGCCAGAGTTCTATGGGGTACTTCTATTGTCCAAACTTAGGCACAAAAGGAGTTTAGCTACATGCCATCTTGGTCTCTTTTAAGAAGCCAAGAGTCTGAACTAAAATCTCCAAATTTAAAATTGTTGAGGGGAAGGTTTTCTATACCAGTTTATTTTGTAAGTCAAGCAAGTATTGTGCAGATAGAAGATCAGCTGGACCTGGATTGTTATGCAAATTTTACTGTTACGCATAGCTGCAGGGAAGATTAAGTCTTAAATTATCTGTACTACCTGAAACCAGAAATCCATTCTTATGCCACTTCAAATCTCCTGCAAAAAACATTGAGTCAGACAAAAGCCTTGCATATGCGGCATTTTCCTTGCCTGAAACTCTTCTGTCTGGGGTGAAAAATGACCCCTTTTGTAGACAGTGTTAGGATTGTCTTTCAGGGTGATGGTTAAGATAAGGCTGAAAGATTCATATGTAAAGAAGCAAAGCATTTGCATTAAGTGCTTGGAGCATATTGCAAACATGAGCTCCAGCAGAGTGTCATCTTTCCTCCTTGGGTTGCCAAGCTAGAAGCAAAGGGTGTGTGATGGAGGAAGAGCAACTGTAGCAACAAGCCTTACTAATAATATACATTGGTAAGGAATGGGGAGCACATCCTCTTCCTTATGTAGAGTAAAAATATAAGGGGATCCTCAGAGCTCAGTATTTCACTGTATATTCCAATACTGCGCTACTCTCATAGTCACTGCCCACTGCTGCAAGGATTGTACAAGAAGTCAAAATTTTTATTTCAATTTCTATTTGTTTATTCTATATCCTGCCATTTTTTCCTTTCAAGGAACTCAAATGGCTTACATAATTCTCCTCCTCCACTCAGTCTTAATCTCACAGCAACGACCCTGTGAGGAACGTTAGGCTGAGCCTGTGACTGGCCCAAAGCCACCCGGTTAGCTCCATGGCCAAGTGGGAACTAGAGCCCTGGTCTCCTAAGCCCCAAACCTGTCCTCTTAAGCACTATGACTCACTGGCTGTCTTGCAGGTCTACTTGCTCTGGTACCCAAATCTATAAAACAGAGCTATCCTCGGCTTCTCCCAAACATCCAGACTATGCAGGCCAGCTCTTGCTGGCTGCTTGTGAGGGAAACATCTGCAACCTGAGATGAGAGCAAGATGATAGTCACTGCCTTTTTTTAAGTACCTGTGAGGCAAGTCTGGGGCAGGAGATGATCTTGAGACTCAAAGGGTAGTTCACAATAATGGAACTGAGTTCCACAGTGTGGGTAGACACTCCTAAAACAGCTTTTGTGAACGCAAACATCCCTGTGAACCAGTATCTGATTGCCAGGTTTCAGGTGTACATTATTTTGGCTGCATTTTGCATGGTCCCTTCCATATAGTGCAAAAAATGTGAGGAAAGGGAAAATAAAACCACTGATAAGGGGCTTTACCAATTAAAGATATATGCTGAAAGTTTTTAAAGGTGGTGAGAGAGAAATGGAGATAGAAAAGGGATGACTTCCTCAACATGATGAAAGGACAATTCACATGCTCCAGAACATGGCCTGCCAGTCCTATTGTCAGTCCATTGGTGGGAATTGCTCAGATGTCATTTTAGAATTAGATCTTATGGAGGTCTAATCAGATATTCTCATCTGATTTTAGTGAGGCTCCATCGCTCTAAGGAGGAAGAGTCCCCTGCCTAGTAGATCAGGCTATTTTAATGTGAGCTACTGCCATGAGTGAGCAAGCACCTGAGAGTCAAAGACTAGGCTGTTGTTAGGAGAGCTACAGTATCTCAGACAGTCGGAATGATACAACATCCTTGCAACCCCAGCTGAGGGGGATTAGAGACTTGGAAAGCTGGCAGGAGGAGGGAAGACAAGAGACAGAGCTCAAGTTCTTACACTTTCTAAAGATTCAGAAAGAGGAGGAAAATCCCACTTACTTCTGACAGGTGAGCCTCTGAAGTCTGACCTATTTAGAGTCTCCCCCATCCCTCCCAGCACTGACCTGCAAATTGCTCAGTGACTTACAAGTTACGTCGATGTGGAATACTTGCTGTTGTATTTTCATGCAAGAAGACCAAGGGGAGCACACTGTACCCCTCACATAATGAGCTTTTGACTTTTAGACTGAGAAAGACCTACATCTGGGTATTAACAGGCATGTTCTTAGTAAAATGCCTCTCCAGTGGCCACAGCCAAAACTTATGCTTCTCCTTCGGATTCTATTCATTATGGCATGATGCTTTTTCCAATGACATGGATATTAATGCAGTTGCTTTTTCTCTTCAACAAGTAGAGTGATTTCATATACAGAATATCTGCAGTGACTTTGTGGCACAAAACACTGATTATTTGCCAAAAGTAGTTAAGTGGAATAGATGTACTATGCTAAGAGTGGGACTTCCAAATATCTGCTTGCCTATGGATAACAGACTCTGAAAAACAGTGTGCCCAAAATGCACTGATCCTGCTGCAGCATAACCATCAGCATAGTCAAGTGATAAACTTGCACAAATCATAAAAAGAATAGTTTTAAGTGTACAGTCCTACACAGAATGAGGATGCTCTGCACCCAATATGTGTCTTTGTCACCCACACTTTAGAAGAAGTTGTAGCTTTAGCAGCACAGGAGAACCTCTCACCAACAGTACTTTTGGGTGTGTGTAAATTCCTTCTGCTGCGTTGAGGGTGCTTATGTGTGTCCAGATTTGTGATGGACCAGCACTGCCTGAACATGGGGCAACAGCAGCTAGATTCATATTATATGATGTGGAAAGGAACTAAATGTAAATACACCCTTATGATTAAGTCAGTGGTAACAAGGAGACATTTCTAGGATCAGGGCCTTAATTGTCCACCTGTAGGTGCCTGAGGTGTATTTCTAACCAAGAAGGCACATTTGCTGCTATGCTTGTGATTGATTGGTGCAGACCTTTCATTAATACCCCACTGAGACCATTCCAGGAGCCCTTTCGTTCCATTTCTCAGCAGTAATTTGCTCTTCCATTGATGATACCCCAAGAGCTCCTCAGCAGAGTTAGACCTGATACCTTAAATGTGAGCAAAAAGGGAAAGGTACCTGTATGATCATCCCTTTATCCGGCAAGTGCCTCAGAAACAAGCAGAGTCCTCTGCCATAAGACTCATAAGCTGCAGAGACTGCAGGTGCTACAGCTAACATTTGGTATAGTTCAGAGGCTACTTAGGAAGGCCAGAGTACAAATGATGCCTCTACTGAGAATGCATGGGTTGTCTTTGGCAAGCCAGCACTTGCCACACACCTCTGCCAGACAGGGAAGATCTGGATTCACCTTATATGGCTTTACAGACAGCTGATACAATGTTTGTGAGGTAAAGCTCTTTAAATACCCCAAAAGTCAAATAAATGCTACACATCATTAGCCAAAGGTGATGAGATCTCACCTTGAGGTTCACTGAGCTTTGAAATTCAAGACCTTAAGAATAAAAGCAGTGGGTCAGGGCTGGGTAAACAGAATGATAACAGGCTTTCAGTTATCTGAACCTTTAGCATTCATCCTTGCCCATTTCCTTTTGGCTTTGCACAGCTGCATAAGGTGAAGTGCTAGGCAACTTGATATATAACACCAGGCATCTTGTCTAAATATGACCCTGCATCTAGAGGATCATATGTCCATTGCTGACGTGAGCCTCCTGTCTCCTGGGGAGGTGGCATGTGAACAACCGTTATCCAGAAGGTGAATTTTCCCACCTCTCAGCCCACTAGCAATATTTGCTCCAAAGCGCCACCTGGGGGCCTCCAGCAGGATGAGAAGAATCCTTGGAGAAAGGGTGGAGTAGACATGAATAAACAAACAAGAAGCCTGTAGGCACTGCAGCAGGGGGAGCTGGAATTGATCCATTGTGGGGCAGTCACTGGGATTACTGCAATGCTTCACCTGTGGGACTGTTTCTGAAGCCTGTCGAGAAACTTCACTTGGTCCACAATATAGCAATAACTGGGTGTTATAAGATTATCACGCCAGTGTTTTGCCATTTCCCAGTCCATGGTCCCACCTCAGTACTGGTTTTGACCTTGAGAACCAAGGATTTCTTGTATCTACATGCTGGAGCCTCCGACACTCCTTATTTAGTGAGGTGCTGTGGATGGCTACTGGAAAAAAATGTTGTTTTTCTGCGACACTCTGGCCATCGAATGCCCTTGCCCAAGAGGATCACCTGTCACCCAGCTTGATATCCTTTCACCACCAGGCTGAGAAAATATTTATTTTCCTAGGCCATTTAATCTGTTGCTCGTTTTCAAATCCATTTTATCTGTGCTGTGTGCTTTGAAGATAGCCTGTAAATATTGGGAAATAAATGAATACACAGTTAAGAAATTAAAAAGAAATAAAGCAGAAAGCTAGAAACAGGTGTATGTTTGTTCCAAATCATCAATAAAATCTCTGTGAATTTTTGTGAGTGCAATGACTCATACAAGCCTAAGATAACATGTGCTTGGAATGGTACATCTCTAAAAAAAAGAGAGCTTCAGATATAAAAAGAGCTGCAATCAATAATTTTCAAAATGGGATCAAGGATCAATATGTATAACATAACAAGAGACTTTTAAAACTAAAAATCTTCTCTCAAATGCTTCACTGCTCTAACCAGAAAGTTATTCTTCCATTGATTTACTCCATTTTTCCTAATATTATTTAATAACAGTTCAGCTCATACACTTCCTCGGCTGTTGCTAATTAACTTTGCCCTAGTGACTGTAAAATAAAAGAAGATGGGTTGCCCCTTTTGCCTCTTCTGCCTAATAG